CTATTTCTTGTAGGGATGCACAGATACTTTTCGAGTACCAGTGCAGATACTTGGCATTTTCACAAGAACTACCAGGGTTGCAGAGGTTGCAGCTGGGACCTAGCTCTGGCACTCCACCAATGTCCTGAAATCAGTAGTCTGTATTGTTTTAGAAAAACTGTCACATTACAATAAACAAAAATGTATCAGTACTCGTACTTGTAAGTACTTGGCAAGTACCATTACTTGTACTCGCAAAACTGGTATCTGTGCATCCCTTTATTTATACTTATAAAAACAAAATCGTACATTAAAACAGAGATGTACAAATCCCAGGAGCTCCGTGTGCTCCTTACAAATGACAGCTGCCTCCTAATTTTTGAATTTTTCTCTAGTGTAGTCTTGGAGCTCAAAAGTATCGGTACATGTACTCATACTTGTACCGAGTACTGTACTTGGTATCTGTGCAACCCTAATTTCTTGCATTTTCAGTTTATCCGCCTGGTTAAAGGATAACTGTGCTTTTATTCCCCTACCACATCCGCTATTTCCAAAGCCTCCCAGGCAGGTTCTTTTTTTGCACCTGTGTGCCGCAAACCCAACTATACCTGTGACTAGGACGTCCACTAACTATCTCATTGGTGGGCATCCTTTTACATAGCAGCTCACATGTAGAGGAAAAGAAGAAGAACCCCACTAGAAGACTTTTCAAGTGAAAGCTCTGCAGTTCTCGGTAGTCCACACAACAAAATTAGAAGGAGTAAGGACAGGTAAGATTTGGGGAGGCTGTTGGGTGGATCTTTTATAGGAAAAATAAATAGTTATCCTTTTAAAGGCAACCATTCTGGGACAAATACAGTGCCTGGCCTTTCCTTTTGAAAATGACAGATTTACAGGTGCCATACTGATCCAATGGCTTCAATAACAGTGTCCCTGGTTAGCAGGTAACCAGGAACGCTGATCTCTCTGCAAGTGGCCGGAGCCAGCCGTAAGATCACGGCTGGCTCCGACCAGCTCTCAGAAGCAGGCTGGCCAATGGCAGGCCGCTCGGCCAGCTTCGGCTTTCAGCACGGCTCAGCTGAACCGATGCATATGCGTTCGGCTTGACTGAGCCGCTCAGCCAGGTTCGGGAGCTGTACGGGCTATTGTGAAAAGCCCGTACAGCACCCCTTGGGTTCTACTGAACCGAAGGGGTCCTGGGGCCGAAGCTAGCCCAAGGATCAGCTGAAGCTATGGCTAGATCCTTCGGCAGCTTAGTGAATAGACCCCTTTGTGTCACTTTCTCAGGACAGTATGCAGACCTTGATTTCTGATAGACCCAGCTTACACCGCTTAGGTGAACTTGATGTCACTGGCCTTCTATTGAGAACCTGTGAAAGCTGAGGATCCCAGTTCTTACAGGAAGATTCTCCAGAACTGTGCATGGTTGTAAGGTTGGGTTTAATTAAGTGAATTGAAGGGTTGTACAGTGGGAAGTGGGGGTCTATAGATTCTGAATAGCACCCCAACGTGCAGCCATATACTAACGCATGTTGTGGTGTTCTGCCAATAATGGTACATGCATTGGCATGTTTTGGTGCATTTGGCAGCCCATTCAAATGAAAGGGCTGCTTTAACACCATGCAGTAGAGTGAGTGGGCTCTGAACAATAAGCAGATCTTTCCTTGTAATTCAAGGTCCATTTTGGGGTCACTTATGGTTAATTGGGTCCTGGATGATAGCTATACAAATGCTTCACTGCCCTGGTATCCAGGGGTTAGAGGACGGCTGTTGTTGTCACTGGCTTCACATCTACATTTCTAAATGGCTGACCTCCTGTAACATTACCACAAACACTCTTATATCTGATTGTGTGTAATTACTCAGTGCTTGTACTGATGCATGATAACACTATGCATTTGGTGGTGATAACAAGAAAATGTAAGTGTATATATACTGTATATATATGT